TTTGACTCTGCACACCGTTTACATGCATAAAAACCTTCATAACACACAAGGGGACGGGTAATAACCGGAAAAGCATGACATGGGAGCTTTAAATAAAAAATAAAACATTCACAAACTAAGGATTATCTAAATACATGTTTAACTCCATTACAGTTGCAGGACTCACCAGATCTCAAGTCTTCTGTTCTTTGTTGACGTCCCGATGCTCATATTTAACGTGTAGATGTAAAACGATCCCGATATTAATCCATTAATCCATAAACTCCTGCAGCTCCGAGCCGGAGCTGGAAAAGCGCCGGTGTGAAAGGGGCAGACAGCTGTAGCTCGCTCCGCAGGAGGAGACCCGCTCTAACTGACGTGAATGTTTCAAATGTGAACAACAGGCGCGGACAGTTCTCATTGGCAGGTTTCTTCGATGACGTTTATATTAACCAATCAGGAGTGTTGTGGACTCATTCCAAACATGCCTGACTTGTCTGCCGTGTTATGGCTGAATTCCATTTCAAGTGCCGTAAGTCTGGCTGTCGGCCAGAATCCAAAAACCATGCACATTATACTGCATGTAAGACTAAGGCTTATTACTGTATATTGACCAATGGGAAAAAAAACACAGCAACAGAACACATAAATAAAACAAGGATAACTATGACTTATTGTTGAGTAAATAACAGTGTGTTTTAAACCTGGGTCCTCCCTGCAGAGATTTCTCCACTTTCTAAGATTTTTATTTTTTTTTTATGATATTGTCAACTGTAGATGTTTACAATATAGTATGTTAGGAATTTAATGAAAACATATTTATTTACTTTTGTTTCAACATTGGATATTTTGTGTTTGTGGTGGATTCAATCGAATATTGAGAAAATGATTTATGTAAAAATGTTTTACTTTACATTTTTTTTGTTTGACGCTTTTTTTTACAGTTTTATGTTTACCTTAAAATTACAAAGAAATATCTTAAAGTCTTATAATAGTAATACACTTTTATATTACGAGTTACATATTTAATTACAGATAATACTTTTTATTTTACGTACATCTGCATGTATTTTCTGAAAGTGCAAAAATACTGTAAATATTATATAGTAAATTTACTGTAAAAAAAAATGAAATAATCGTTATTTGTTGTTATTGTCAAAATACTTCAAATAATGTTTTGGGTTGTTAATTTATAGTTAATATCTGTCATTTTACAGGATTTTGCAAGTTATTTAAAAAAACATGATAATTACTATAAAAATGTACAGTTATTTCCTGTAAAATTACGATCTTTTTTTACAGTGTACCCCTCCGTGACGGAGTGAACTCCGTCTGTAGCCACACTCGCAGCTCAACGAGGCTCCCTCCTGTCAGATGGAGGGAGTAAATACAGCGGCAAGCTTTGGGACAAACTCCCCTCTCTCCGGCAGAAACAGGAAATGCCGTAACTGTATGTAACAACGGTTTCAAATCAGCTTCTCTTAGACAAAAAATGTAAATTAATAACTCAAATAAAACTCCAAACATCTTTCATTGTGTTACTTTTTTGTAAAGCTCTTTTAGTTTTAAACCTGATGTTTATAAGCTTCTTAGTTTTTGCAACAGTCTGTAAATATACACAACTTTATAATAAAATGCACACATTTACCTTTTTCTAGACTAAACACAGGTATGATCCTAAGTTAAAAAAATATGAGGTTATCATGAGGTTGTTAACATCGCAATTTATCAGTGGATGTTTGCTGGAACTACTTTTTAACAGCGTGTTTCCTGACGGACACACACAGCGTGACTCCGGTCAGGTAGAGACCGGTCTCAAGTCAGCACCGATGCAGACTCGCTGTTTGAGGGCTTGATAGCCCACTCCCCCTCCACACCTCTCCACACTCGTTGGTTTGGAACAGCACTTAATGTGGCGGACCCTCCGGGCGAACGCGCAAACGGAGGGGTAGTGTGTAGGGGTAGGGTGTAGCATGTCGTTGTGTCCCCGAGACACTTCACCCCAAATTGCTCCTGTGGGGATTGCCCACAGTATTGAGTAGGTAAGCTTTGGATAAAAGCGTCTAACAAGTGACATGTAATGATTCAAAAAGCTTTTGGTGGCCATATTGAATAACAAACCAATGTGGTTTACTTGTTATCCACAGTTTAGCTGCTAAATGTTACCTTTACAAAGCTACGCTGAAAACACAGCAAAGTTCATATAACGGTATTAGGTTAGTTGAAACTAATATTTTTATAGTTAAACTCAACACTTTTCTTTGTGCTCCACATATCTAAATGTATAAAGTGTGTTTTCACCTCCGTTCCCTCCTGTTTGCTGCAGTATGGCAGCAGCGGTCAGGATGGGATCCTCTGTGATCAGATAGTGGTCCTGATGGTGTCCGCTGACCGGGCGCAGGCTGCCTACTCTCAGCGGGGGGGAACTGAACGTGGAAACTGTGTTTCTCTGAGGGATCCTCCATGTAGTCTGAGAAGCCTTCTGAGGAAACAAGGTCAAACTATTTAGGATAATACTATGAGAAGGAACAATGTTAAGCCAGTAAATAGAATTTCAATTACATTTCTACTTAAATGTGCAAAAATATTAGAACATCAGTCTTTGTGGCATGCAGGTAATCAACTGTTTAAGCTTTTACCATTAACATGTAGAATGAATGTTGCAAATTACTTGAAATTACTTCAACTACAATCTATTGTTTACCTCTATGCATTAGCCACAGAGGTAGCATTATGTCCAGCTAGCATGCTAATTGCTAACGATATATTCTCGTTTTATCCCGGAGGGGAAAACTAGTTTCTAATCCTGAGAGAAACACCTCGCCTGAAACACACGATTAGTGCCATGAGTTAGTGAAGCAAATTACAGAACATTGCACTTATTCACAAGTCAAAACATGTTCATAGCGGGCATGGATGAGAATAGCTAGCTAGCTAGATGTTATTAGCCAGCTTGGACCGACGTTAGCTAGTTCTACCATGGCTAGCTCGATCTACTGAGCAAATAAAAGTACATCTAAGACCAGTATTGTGCAGATTAAAACAGTGCAGTGCATGTATTTTATTTTACCTTGGTAGTCGTCCCGACATGACTTTGCCAGGTCTGCTAACTTTGCAGAGCCAGAGAAACTGCATTCAGTAGAAGCTTCGGAATGTGGCGCTTCGCGTCCTCCGAGTCAATCGCCAGAAGCGCAGACACATCCTCATCCTCATCACTCCACCGCTCCAATTGATTTATTTAGTGTTGCTATAATAACTGCTTTCACAAAAGGAATCTCTTCGTGTGTGCTGCGAAGCGAGGAAATACAATGGCCGCTTACAACAAAAAATTCTGAGTCAAACAGGCGTGGTTTGCATTCCGCACAGCCAATCAGACGTAGGAACTACTTTCTCCCACGAGAGACCCTGCTCTGTAGCAGGGACTGAAAAGCGAGTCTCGCGAACTAAGTTGAGCTACTTTAGTTCCTGGGGCTTTTTGGTGTGAACGCAAATATATCGTAGTTCTGATGAACTATTGTGGGAAAAGTACACCAAAGTACTCCGGTGTGAACGCACCTAATAAGTCCCACTCCCCACTAGTTGATTTGGAACAGCCTTAATATGACAGAGCCTCCATGTATACGTGCATAGGGAGTTGAAGTGGGGTGGAGGGGGGGTTTAGGGGCCGGTTTGGAATAGTGTACCTTCCTGTGCGTCTGCTGCAGAGGGCAGGAGGTCCTGCTAGCTAGCTTTATGAGCTGTTAGAAACCCAGAAGCCATCTTGTAAATAACCAATTAAATGAAAAGAGATCGCAAGGGACTGCATACCTGCCTGGAAGGAACCATAATAAAATGTAATAAGAAGGGAACATTTTCAGGAGGCTCTGCTGAGGATAATTGCAGCTGGGGAATTCCCCATGCCACTCCATCACTCACCCCCTGTTCACACATTGCCAAGCTGGTACCGAGGAGAAGGAGAGGAAATAGATTTCATTCATCTGGTGATAAAGTGACCCTGGGTCTCACATGTTTTCTGCTTTGGGCTGAGGAATGGGCTCATCAGCAGCTAGCCTGGAGACATGATTACATGCTGCTTCGACAGTTTGAATAAATGAGACATCGACAGACAGCAGCTGCTTTTGCAGGCATGGCAATGTTGTTTATTTCTGTGGTGGACACAGGGCAAGACACAGCCACTGATTGTTCTGCTGAACCGCTCATATTGCTTGGTGTACATTTAGAACACACATGGCATACAGAACAGGCAGCACACACAGATAATAGGGGTGTAACGGTATCCGTATTCGTCCCGAACCGTCACGGCTCGGTTCATGCAGTCACACGACGAATACGCCTTTTTTTATGAGTGGGAAAAAAGTCTGTCACTTAGGGCAGTATCCACTACACTATATAATCCAGGGGGTGGTATTGCGCCTAAAAGCTGTTTGCCAGCCGCCCTTAAACAACAAATGAAGAACAAGAAGAAAACACAACAAAACGAACAAAATACAAGAAGAAGAAAAGTTAGTATGGTGATTTCAGATAACACACAGGAGCTAGAAGAACCACCTGCTTCTTTTAAATCAGCTGTGTGGGAAAATGTCAGGTTCCCTGTGGACTACAACAACAATGGAGTGCGAGTGGTGGATCGGACGAGGACGGTGTGTCGGCGTTGTTAGACAGCGGTGCGGTATGCTAATGTTAACACACGCCAAACATGCTAAATCATATCAGAAGGCATCACCCAGATTTGCCAATCACCGGAGCCCGGCAAAAGGCAACAGCAGTTCAACAGCTTATCCCCGCTGTTTTTAAGAAGCCAATAAGTTTGACATCAGCCATTAGGCTATAGATAATATAGCCATCTGAGTGTGTGTGCTGTTTGTGGTTTGTTTTTAACTGTGTAATACAGTTAATTATTCAAAATGTTAGAGTTCCTTATTTGTATACTGACACTTGCACTACTGTTCAAAAATAAATAACAACAAACCTGGAATTATGCATTTGGGACTTTTATTTGCTTTTTCTTGTTGTACCGAACACGTACCGAACCGTGACTCCCAAACCGAGGTGCATACCGAACCGTGAATTCTGTGAACCGTTACACCCCTAACAGATAACCAGATAAAGATGTTTCAAACATGGAGGGGCCGCCTCTGCACATCTCTGCACGTGTTTCTAAGGGGGAGGACGTGGAAGCTCTTCCCTCTATGACATACACTCATCTGTAACAGTGGTCGGATCACTTCGTCTCACTGGAGCATGCCTCTTCTCCACAATCAGTTGTATCCATTTGTTGGTATGGGGGGGGGGGGGGGTTGCATTGTTGCATTCTAAGAAGAGATGGTCAACAGGAAACCAGCGGAGGAGAGGAGGGGTCCCTGCTTTCATTACAACAAAATACTGCAGCAACCACAATAAAGACAACAAAGAGCTTCCCTTCATCATTAAGGACCAACCTTTGTACAACTTGGGTCATATTTTTATAGTTATGGCCATCCTTCCTATTAGTAATAATAACAACAAAATCACAAAAACAGTAATGAGTCCTAACCCCTTAATGAGTCAGCAATTAAGCACTTCTGGTTAGCTCATCTTGAAGTCAATGTTTTTTTGATGAGTTTTTGATTAGATTCCCCACATAAGGTCTGTGTCTAATAAAAGCTGAAGAGATATTGTTACACAACATAAAATGCGTCAGTAAATACCCCACTGGTGAATGTCTAAAGCTTTTACATGTCATAAATTCTGCGATTGCTAATTAGCGTCTAAATGAGGCTACTAAACGCCATTACGCCGAACATTAGCCGCCTTTAGCTTAGCGCCGTTGACGTGAAGTCATGTGTTCATGATGTAGTTAATTTATAGCTACGTATTTGACTTCTAGCGATAGCATTTTTGTTTCAACTATTATATTAATATGTGGAGATAATCCTGCTACACAAAATGTCCAAGTATCATAAACGTGTGCTTGTGAAAGAGCTTATTTTCTGCAATATACCGAAATCCAATGGGAAAATCCCATTGTTTTTTTGAGGGAGCCGAGTTGTCGTACAAATATACGTCATGCCTGCACTACTTTATAGCTGAACACAGTCACAGTCCCTCTATGTAGAATAGTAATGGTTTATAACTATAATGTATTTGCACACAGCAATAAGTGGTGACTGATGTACAGTATTGTTCACTAGTTTTGATTTTGGTATCACTTTTTATGACGTCCATGTTTATAAAGCTTGTTTTGTTCATTCATTGACATTTTTTGCTGAAGGGTCATAGTGTATAATAATTCCCATATTTGTAATACATTAAAATCAGGGTTTTCAGGCACATTATAATGCAACAGGGAATGCATAATAAAAAGATCCTCATCGCATTAAATGGGAATTATAACACAATATGCAAACAAATGTCAGTAATGTCAAGTATGAAACTTTTTACAACCGTGCACAGCTATATTGCCATTCATTAGGTTTGTTCAGCGGCTTCAGCTTATCGGGGCCCACAGGGGCAATAAATGCATAATAAACACTAAATCTGCTAACGTAAATAATATAGTTTGTTATAAACCCTCCATTAAATGTTTAAATAGTGTTGCCTTGTGCTGGATGTGTTGTTTGGTTGAAGCTGTAGCTCTGCACTGCGTTACTCTCATTTTCAGAATTCTTTCACAGTTTGCAGTAGACAACATTTTTATTTAATCTCTCTTTATTCACATATGTTTTCGTTTTAACCATTTAAGATGAATCAATCATGGGGGTATACAAAGAGTACCACAGAACTAAAACGTAGTTAATGAAGCAATATAGCAAATTAATAAACATAATTGCAATACATGTGAAGGTTGTTCCCAAGGTTACCACAGAAACAATGGCCAAGCCTAAGAAAACAAGACCCAAGCTATAATAAACTGAATGAACCTTTTATTATCACTTCTTATACACATAAACCCCACAATGACATTCATCTGCATAAGTATTAAGATGTAACATACTGTACATCACTGCCATGCATTGCATTTGGAGTATGGGACCTCGTCTGAGGAAAACAAATCCCATTGTAATATACCAGTTGCATTTGTCAAAAGCTGTCAGCACTTTATGGACTCAGGTCCAGGTAGTTTGGTTCAGAGTTGTTTGCACAGTGAAACCCATCAACCTTCTATCTCTGCTGCACACTGTGTCCTAGAAACTGTCAAACACAGCTCTGTTTTGAGAAACAAGTTAATTTCTGGCATTGCTGCCAACCCCATATTGCAGAAGTAAACAGTGTGTCAAACCTTTTTGCTCATCTGTGACAGTGCAGAGTTTTGTTCATTGTTCCTTCAATTATATAAAACATCTGGCGGATCAGATTGGAAGCCAAGCACAGACTGTAACCTCTGCATATCATTATTCCACTGAAGATTGCGAAAGTGCTCTAGTTTTGGAAGATCCTGTGAGAAATACTGTACTCTGATCCAGGGCTCAGTGTCTCTGCCCCAACCAAAATATAGAATCCACAGGAAGATGTCATGATGGTTGCAAGGGTGTTTGTATCCAGAGTTCACCATAAAAAGCTGCCGATCATTGGAAAGGCCCAGATCCAAAACTCTTATCCCACTGCACACACTGCTGCTCCAGCTGCCCCAGCAGCCGGTCCACCGAGTCCTCCTTGTTCTCCAACTTCAGGTACCGCCTCCCGCCACCCAGGTCCAGCCGAGGCCAGCTCCGGCGAGTTTGCTCCTCTGCGGCATCCACAACCGCCCAAGGGATGTTCACGCAAACATCTGAGGAAGCCTCTCTACCTGAGACCACCTGCTGATTTATCTCCCCCTCCTCTCCACTCTCCAGACGCACAGGTGGAGCTGTGTACGGGTTAGTCCTGTAGCTCATACTGTGGCAGCGCCTCGGCTGCGCGGCGTGGTTTTCCATCTCGTCCAGGGTGGACATGGAGCTGGCCGACTGCAGGAAGTTGTTGACGAGCGGGCGAGTGAAGCTGGCACCGTCATCAGCTCCGAACTGCGTGTTCAAATCAGTCTGACTGGAGTTACAGGAGTTAGAGTGGGAGGAGTGGAGGGAAGACGGAGACTCTGACTTCTGGTGGTGGAGGGCTTCTGTCTGGAGCACGGCCTGCTGCTGGTAGATGCCCTCTGCCTGGTCCTCCTGCTCTGCAGGGGGTCTTGTGCGCAGCAGGGGCTCGGAGCTGGTGAGCTGCTGCACACAGAGGATGTTGAGGTGAGCGGCGGGTAAACTGCTCAGCCACTCGTAGTGTCTGGACATGGAGCTGGCTACAGCGATGTCTTTGAGGTCCGCCGAGGGGACAACCGCGGACACGGAGCAGATCACGCTGTGCATCTGAGCCAGCAACATCTGCGTCTCCCTGTCCCGGTTCTCGTACAGGACAGTGTTGGCACATATGAGGATGAAGAGGCCCACTCCCATGATGACGGGCCCCAGCAGCTTCATCCGTTCACTGTGGATGAAGCTGGCTGTGGAGAGGAGGCTCTTTGCTCCCATACTCCAGCCGGAACTCTGCGACTCAGAGATACCGTCCCCCTCTGCGGCTCCCAGGAGCGGCGCCCTGGATATCCGGTAGGGCCAGTACCCCGCCACAGCCAGCGCCGTGCCAACAACCACCACAATGACCCCCAGCACCAGGAAGGCTCCGGGAATGGAGCGGATGCGAAGCTTGCCTCGGATCACCCCGTCCTTCTTCTTTTTGCTGCGTAGGGTGAAGCGGCGCTTGCGTGGGCAGGGAGAAGTTGGTAGGACACCTTGGGCCTTCTGGGACTTCATGATCGGGTCAGTCCAGAGATCCTGCTGCACCTCCGTCAGATGCCTAGGGAGAGAGGACATGTCATTGGTTAATGCAGGTCTGACATCTAAGGATACACAATCAGTTGTTAAATGCCTAATGTATAAAATAAATGTGATATGTAGAATTATTACCTGACTACACCAGAATCAGAATCAGTTTTATTTCCAAGTATGTTTACACATACGAGGAATTTGCTTTGGTGTAAATGGCAGAAGGGGGAGAAGTACTCAGATGTTATACTTAAGTAAAAATAATAATACGTTGTAGGAATACTCTATTGCAAGTAAGTCCAAGTCCTGTATTCAAAATTGTAAAAAGTAACAGTACCAAATATAAAAGTACTCATTATACAAAGTGGCTATTTTCCAAATAATATACATTATTACACTGTTTTATATTTAGTGATGCATTCATGTGTCTATCGTTTTAATTTTGCAGCAGTACATTATGAGAATGAATTGTTATACTGCCAGGTTTCGCCATTCAAAATATTACATCATAATGAATTAGTTGATTTCATTTTTGTTTAAATAATATGAACCTGCAAAAGTCACTATGTCACAATGTTGTCAAAAAAATGTATTTGCTGCCAAATAAGGTGGAGTAGAAGTATAAAGTAGCATAAAAAGAAAATACTAAAGTACAAGTACCTCAAATATATAATCAAGTACGGTACTTGAGTACATGTTCTTAGTTATTTTCCACCTCTGGTAAATTGGGCAAACAAAGACACAGCAAGAAGAATATGTTTGTTTAAAGAAAGGAGCCAAACATTGTACGAATATAAAAGTTATTTTAAAAACTATTTTAAGACTAAAAAGAACAAATGAAGACAATATTTACACAAAATATAAATATGTAAGAGTACTGTAAAGTAAAGCTCAGGCTCAGGGGATGGCTGTGTAATTATGGGAAGATTGACGGTTCGATCCCTATCTCCGTTTGTGTGCATGAAGAAGTGTCCTTGGGCAAGTTAGTGGACCCCAAATAACGCCTGAACAGGTATCAGTGTGTAAGACTTATTGAGCTTTGGATCAAACTAAACAGGGATCGAACCGCTGCTCTTCATATTGGTGTGAAACCTGCCCTCCCTTTGCAGCAGCACAGATACGCAGATGAACTATGAGCAGTTTGTATTGCAGTAATGCCATCAGTGTATACATGTGTGTGTGAATATGTAAAAGTTGGCATGTAGTCCAGAAGCACTTTGAGAGGCTGCAATAGTAGAAAGGCCCTATATCCAACCATGATCATTTAGAAATTAATAAAATAGAAAGGTTTGGCTAATTTGAAGCCAAGGCAGTAGCCCAAAAACTCTTTGACTCACTGAAAGCTAATGTATTCAAATAATTAATCATTTTGGGGTTTTTATCTTAATGGTTGAATGCACTCATTGTAAGTCGCTTTGGATTAAAGCATCAGCTACATGTATTGCAGTGTAATGTACTATTGAAGGAAGTGGAGTCAACATTTCCCAGAAACTTTCTTTTATTTAAATAACTGTAGTTCTTTTTTAATGTATTGTTGTTTTTGATTTCAAATGGAGAACACCCCATGTTGTATTTTTATGTTGTTAAAATGTAATGTAATGTTAAAACCAAATAAAGGGAAAATGTCAAAAAGTAACTTCCTGTGACGGCTGCGGTCCTGGGAAGATCTCTTTGAACCTAACATGAGTCACTGATCCTGACGTCTTCAAACAGCTCTTGTGATTTCACGATTATTCTAAAAAAGAATGATTTATGTTTCTCTGCCAAGATGTTCCAGTAGATCTGGAATCATACTCCCAGTGTAGGAACTGCTTTATATTCAGGCTTAGGGAGTAACAGATTACTTTTAACAGATACAAATAAGGTAACTGGATTCTAGGTAACTGGATTACTAGCAGGATTAAAATGTTGCAATACGTTTTGAAATAATAATATAATAATTGAAATAATATATAATAGTTGTCCGGTGCCTTGCTAAAGGGCACCACGGCAGGGCCCAAGAGGTGAACTGGGACCTCTCCAAGTACCAGTCCTCACTCCATATGTTCTGTTCGGGGACTTGAAACGGCGACCCTAGCTCCCAGTCCAAGCCCCTACTGACTGAGCTGCCGGACATATAAGAATGGAGACATGTCCCAGCAGAGACACTAAATACAAATATGAACCTGAAAATTAGAATAAGGTGGCCCCATTAATATGACACATCTTAATATTAAATATCTTGGTTTTCTTCTTTTCTAAGGTCACCTTGTTTTGTTGTCTTACATAATACAAAAAAACATCTTATTGTTATTTTTTCATTGCATTTGATATTGAGGTATTCCAAAAGTAACAGTAAGTAATCAGGTTACATTACTTTTATATTGTGATACTTTTGATTAGGTTAATGATTAAAAAAATTTGCAGGTAACTAGTTATTGTAATTGAATTCATGTTTATTATAGTTAAACCTTTAGTCAGAATTTAACCGACTGACACAACAACACTATAGACTTGTTGTGCAGTTGCAATGAAGAGCGGGATTGTACTGAAATGGTTTTGATAGAAAACTGCTGAAATAAGCAGCTGATACGTCTTTCTTAACTTCAACAACAGCTTTCTGTACCAGTCACAGGTCTCCCGTGCCCTGTACTACGAAGCCAGTTCAACAGACCCTGGATATGTTTGAGTTATCTGGCTTAACTAACCCTACCAAACGCGATCTCGCTAAGCGGTCCTACGACGCTGGTTATCAACTCGGTAAATCAAGTCTAGGTTTCTCTGTCCGGCTGAGAGCACGTTCACGTGAAAGGGCCGGGGTTAGCAACATTTGACCAATCACAAACAGGGACAAGCGTACTGACAGCGCAGCGTCATACTTCATGAATGAAAAGTAAACTATCACGTTAGACAAATATGAAGAAGTTAAACTTTAAACATCCATGACTTAAACAGATAAACTAGGATAAAAGCCACAGATGCCCCTTTCACACCAACGCGGTTCCAGGGCCGGTTCGGAGCTAGAGCCTGAAAAGCACCGGTTTTTCCTGTTCACACCGCAGCGGAGCCGCCTCTAAGCTCCGGAATCCGGTTCGTTTCAAGCACCAAAACATTGTCGGTCTAGAAGTAAGAACCGCATACGTCACGCTTACGTCGGAGGGGGGCGAGATTAACCTGAGCTAACAGTTAAAGGCGAGTACGGCAAATAAAAGTTGTAACCAGCAGTAGTGCTGAGCAAAGTGACCCCCCCCCCCCCAGTTGACAATTAACTAGCGGTACTGAGTTGGGCCGGTTGGCCGGTCGAGTTTCCCGGGCTGATTTTTAGTCCCAGTCCGCCCCTGGCTGTTATTGATCATTGTGGAGAGCAGGCAGACGTTTTGTTTTGTATTATAGCAGCTATCGGATGGAATCAATACATGGGCTGCACAGGTTGTCATGTCCGACTATCACAAGTAGAATCATAATGAAAAATACGCTGGTAAAATGTGCCTGTAGAAAACGGCTTATGCCACAATAGGATAGCAACAAGTAGTCAAGTTATAGTCAGTTTAGCTTTGGTTGCTATGCTAACATCACCCATTTTATACCAGAGAAACTTTCATAACAGCGTTGTGATGCCAAACAGCGTCAATTCAGACTGACACACATTCACTTATGGGGAACTGGGGATATGTATCAGCTGCTTGTGTGACAGTCGGACAGTGAATACTTTACAGTGGCCGCTGCTGTGAGTTAATGGGAGAATAAACTCCCGTGGAAGAGCAGCCAGCACTGCAGCAGTCGGTAAATGCCGCTGTAACACATTAATAAACAATGAACCAAGGCACACTGGAGAAAAGTATAAGGTTGGAGAAGTCGTTATTTAATTTAATTTAATCTGGCTTTGTATGATTAAAAGCAACACGATCCTCGACCCAACGCAGTCCCCCATTGTTGTTGTAGTGAGCGCCGTTGGGGAGAAAATCAGCGACGTAAACGGTGACGTCATGACGCAGCAGCGGCAACACCAGTCGGGCTCTGGGCGGTGTGAACAAAACGGGGGCTGAAAAGAAGAACCGGTTCCGAACCAGAAAAGATCTAGCACGGAGCTAGAACGGGAACTGTGTGAAAGGGGCAATAGTTGCTCATGCAAGGTGAATACAGAACAGCTTGTAAAAAAAATGTTCAAAACTACAGAGTGTTTGAATGCGTACATTAACCTGTTAAGCACCTTCCCCCCGATACCGGGGGGAAAAACGCATCATCTGAGGAAACAGTGTCTGAGGGCATCTTAATATTTAATAAACTATGAATGTTTTATATCCATGTAACGGGAAGAAACTCATCTAACTGATCATTTTTGTATTTTTTTTCAAAAGAAAACCCACAATGCTAACACTGAGCCTCTGAATTAGCAACGAGCGAAAAATGCTAACACCTTACTGCACCGAAGATCACTCACAAAACCTTATTATTTATCTTTTCTCTACATCCATGACATCGTTTCACATCGTGAGGTGACACAGAATCGATGGGTACCCTCATTATCACTAAATTATACGAAATGGCGACGTTATAAGCAAAGACGGACAACAAAACAGGTGACGCTAGGTAGCTAAAAATGCTAACATTTTTACCTTGGCTCTGTAGTCTCTCCAAAGTGGTCTTCAATGGCATTAACACGATAAAATCCCTGCTGAAGTTAATCCATAGGTTAATCCAATGTGTCTGTGTCCCTTTGAAATTATTTCTGATAATCCATGAGCAAACAGACGGATAATCCATGCTTTTAGGTTTCTAGATGTCAGAGCTAGACTGTAGCTTCACTCTAATGCAGGGGTAGCCAACACGGTGCCCGGGCACTTAGTCGCCCGCAGGGGCAACGTGAGTCGCCCGCGGGGCATGTTCTAAAAATAGCTCGCCAAGCAAATCCAAAATGTATAAAAAAAGAAAAAAAAAAAAAAAAAGGAAATGTAATTAAAAGAATCTACCCTATGCATAAACAAAACCTAAATCCTAGCGAACTCTATCTACTTACTACAACTCTATCTCTATCTAACACCCCTCCTCCCC